CTGAGGTTTACCAGTAACACAGCCATTGTGGTCCAGCAGTAAAAGAAAAATCTTTATGAGATGTACAAGGTGTTTCATTCTTTCCCTTTATAAGCACCAGAGCATCTCTTCTCAGACACTGCCTTGGATCAGTGCCACTGGAAACCCTGCAGGTGCAGTGGAACAGAGCTTTAGGCAGGGGCAATCTGCCATCTTGCAGGGCTCTGGGAGCATGAGGACCTGCTGCCTCATGCCCTGGCAATTAGCAGCACCAGCCTGTAGGTGCAGCAGCTGCCCCTGGCTCCTGCTGACCTTGGTCTGTGCAAGCAGATCTTCTGCCATTGCGGTCATGCTGGTCCTAAGTGCCCTAACTCACCGTGTTCTCTCTATGCTGTGTGGAGGTGTCATAAAAATGAACAGTTTGTTCCTTTACCGCCTTAGAATAGTGATCTAGACTGGTGATGACACTGATGAAACTGTTAAATAATATGAAAGTGCCTAAACTATGGCCTTATGCTCCCTTCTTTACTGGTATTAAATTACGAGTGACAGCACTGAAGATTGTTAGAATTACCAGAATTATTTCAGTACTGTCATTCTCCGTGAATGAAAACCGGAAGTGTAATATGTTAATCTTATAACTCAAATTCACACTTCCCCTCATCTTTCTCAGTGGCTCTGAAGTTAGAACTGCTACAGACTCAAAAAAAAAAGAACCAAGAGAAAAAGAAAAAAGTAAAGGCTAGGCAAGAGTCTCTGTTAGCCTATAACCATGTGAGTCATGACCCCATTGACATCAACAAAACAAAGCTGATGTGTAGCTACATCAGAAAAGAATAATGACAGGCATCATGATGGCAGTGATGCAGGTTCTGGCTAAGATTCTAGGAAAAACATATTAAATGAAGTCTGAAATTCCACTAGCTAGGTCACCACTGTTCACTGAAAAACTCCCAACTTACAAGCTTAGCTGTAGCTTTGCTGCACTTTTGGCAGATGGATTCTGCTTTAAGGGAATTATGGACAAATAAATTCACCTCTGCTGTTATTATGCTGACAACAATACCATTTGGCACTGGCATTTCATACCCTGTGGGTATTAACTAAATTACTATCACAGCCCTTTTAATTATCCATATTCTTATTGCACAGATCAGGAACTGAGATTGGAAATACAGTGATTCACCGACGGCCTATATACATTAATGCTTTAGGCATTGTCTGTGTGAAAAATGGAATTTAAAAGCATGCATTTCTTCTTGTCAATAAATAAATATTTGGATTTTATAAACTTGTTTCTGTAAGGAATGTCCTTGCTTTGGGAAGTGTTCTTGTGGATCTGCACTTGTTTTTTCCCTGAAGAGCCATTAGGAATTCTAAGTGGAATATTAAAAACCAATAATGCACACTGTGGACTGGAGACCGGATAAAGACATTTGCTTCTCACTATGCCACTTCTGCATAGTGAAAAGTGCTTGTCTGGTAACCCGAAATGTTAAAAAGAAACACAGATGTTCTTTTTAACATTGCAGGATATTTTGGTCCAGCTGGAACAAACAAATTCGGAGAGAGACTGAAAAAAAAGTGTACATTTTTAGGTATGTAAGAATAATGAAGCAAATACACAAATGATTGACATACAGGACATTGTAGTCTCTACATCAAAGTTTCCTCTCTTCTCCAGAGGACTATGATTTGAACACTTCAAAACATGTCAGAACAATCTAAGAGATTAGGTACCTACATTTTATTATTGTAAAGTGATAGGACCCTGAACTTACCTGATCTTTTTCATGAAACCCAGCCTATAAGCCAGCCATTGTCATCATCTTCATAGAATCATAGAATAGTTAGGGTTGGAAAGGACCTTAAGATCATCTAGTTCCAACCCCCCTGCCATGAGCAGGGACACCACACACTAAATTATGTTGCCCAAGGCTCTGTCCAGCCTGGCCTTAAACTCCTCCAGGGTTGGAGCATTCACAACTTCCTTGGGCAACCTATTCCAGTGCCTCTTCCTTTTTCTTGTTATGAATCTTCAGCAATGCAGGGAAGTACTATAGTAAATGATGCTATGAAAACTATCCCACATTCTGAAGTAAGTTGGTCCAAGCTACGACTTTCAAGAGCGTTGGTGGAATATAAAAAAGTATAAAATTTTGTGAAAATTAAGCTTTTTTCACAGGGTCAGGGCCTTACGTTTACCACAGAGTCTGTGGTCTGTTATCCTGCCTCTTTAGGGTTTAGCTGCCTATGCAGATGTCAGTGCTAACATGGTGCGGCCAAGACGAGCCTCATGCCTTGCTGATCCTGACCACGCCTTCCTGACTTGGCCTCCGAGCTTAACCTCAGACCTGCCTTGTCACTACAGATTTGTCTGGTGGTCATAGAGCTGTTGGCCAATGTGGGTACCATCACTGGTTCTGCTCTGTGTGTCTCACTGTAGAGCTGTGGGACTGTGTGGCTTCTCAGGAGGATGTCACCCAGCCTGCCTGGCTGTCACCGTTGGCTCCTGGCTCCCCGTCCCTTGTAAAGCAGCCAAAATTTGACTCATTTTTGTCACATAGTTTTAGTTTGCATTATTCTTTATTCAAAATAAATTAAAAGCCCCAATAGAATTAGCTTTCCAACCTTTCTGGCTTGTGGAAGGTCTAGAAATGAACCACTGAGTTGCTTTTTCCATGAGGTTACAGTGAAGCTTGGTTCTGCTTTCTTTTCCAGTGCTGCAGTGAAATTTCACACTCTGTTGCAAAATACATAGGTCAGCACAGGAACAAATCTGTGGTGAAGTAACTTGTACTGCTGCTTGCATACTTTTTCTTTCATAATATATAAGAAAGCATTACAGAAAAAAAAAACCCACATCAAAAAAAATCCAGCAAATGGAACCAATGGAAGGAAGGGAACATACTTTTTTAGAAAGGAAGCAACAGTCAGAATACTGACATACACAGCTCATAGGATCAGAGGACAATTTGGGTTGGAAGGGACTTCAGGAAGTCTCTAGTCCAAACTTGTGCTCAAAGGAAGGTCAGCTATGAGGCCAGACCAGGTTGCTCAGGGCTTTTTTCAATTTGATCCTGAAAACCTGTCAGGATGGAGCATGCAGAACATCTTTGTGCAACCTACTCCACTGCTTGGCAGTCCTCATAGTTCAAAAGTTTTCCTTATATCAACTCTGACCCTTCTTGCTTCAAGTTACGCACATGAATTATTGTCCTCCTGCTGTGCGCTCTTGTGAAGAGATCGGTTCCATCTTCTCGATGCCCTCCTTGAAGGTATTGCAAGGCTGCCATTAGGTCCACAAAATCTTCTGCAGGCTGAACAAGCCCAGCCTCCTCAGCCTCTCAAGTTTCCCTTGTGGAATGTGAAATTATTCGAAAATATAAATAGACACAAACAGGAACTTGTGAAAATAATAAAAGTGGCTCTTTGTAATGGAGAAATTTATGATTTACAGACAGAAGGATCTTCTCGTAAGAATTTCCATCTTGCTTGTGACCACTGTATGCTTATCCTCCAAGTATAATGTCAGACCCAGAAGTGTGCTGAAAAAGTGCTTGTCAAAATCTTCATAATCTTTCCACTATACAGACCTGCTAGAGGAGGATTTTTTGAAGAAAAAAAATTTTCCCTATGAAACTGGACAACCACCATAACCAAACATTCTTCCTGGCAACTGAACAAAGCGAAAAGGTTGTGAGAAAAGAAAAAGCAGACTTTCCATGGTATATTAACTCTTTTCAGTGGCTTGAGTGCCTGCTGCTACCAGGGAATCACACAGCTATAGCAGGGGCCTATACAAGTAACAGGTCCCTGAATTGACAGCTGTACTTTTATCTGTGCTAACTTCAACCTTTTAAAAATGCGGGTTCTTTAGCTGCCATTCTTAATGTTTGTTGGTACATTCATGTTCTTTGCTGGTTTGTCAGTATTGCTTATTGGTTTGTGTTTGATTTTTCAGAACTGGCAGACTGAGAGCCCAGGAACCTCTAGCTGAAGTTCCAGGTATAGTTATGCAAACGGATATAAACCTTCTTGCTCTATTGACTCTGCAAACATAACCACACTCCAGATTTCAGACATAATAAGCAAAGCTAAAGGCTGGTCCTGTATGTTGTGGAGATGTGAAACCTCACCTTTCAATCCTCTTTTCTCCCTGAATATATCAGCACAAATTTCATCCAAGTTAAACCATTGGTGGCTAAAATTTGGTTCTTTATAGGAATTCGAAGTAATGAATCCTCAACTATCTGAAAGTTGGTATTGATATTGTAATGAAACTACATGAGATATGGTTATACATTAGAACATATATTTTCCAAAGAAAACAAAATCTGAAAAGCTTAAGAGCAGGTAACTACCTGTCCACATGAGGTAAATGATTTTAAGAAATGGCTAATCTCAAGGGTATGCTGAAGGAGAACTCAAGTCCTTACTGAAACACAGGAACCACCATAGCAGCATAAATCACAGCATGACATTAGAGAGAACATTTACCATCCTACCTCTGTATGCTCCTTCGTCAATCATGCGAATGATTTCCGTGTGCGCGTGTGTGCTTTATTCACTTCAATCACAGTATTGATTGAGCCTTTTGAGGCTCCTTCCCAGCTAAGCTTTGATTTCTACTAAAACTTGAAAACAAATTACTAGGTTAAGAGGACTTTAGCCTCCTCCAGCTGAGTATGTGTATGCCCAGCACATGGGCTAGCTAGCAAGCTGTGACAGGAAGCAGTTTTGTGAAGAATCCTCATTAATCTTATCAGTGTGCCATGGTCAACTTTCTTGATTGTGCGTTTGTTTGTCAACATGGATTTACATACTATGTCTAATTTAGAGATATATGTTGATGCTGCATTGATTTCATTGACTCTGTAACAAGTTCTTATTAGCTCCAGCTATTGGTTTCACTTAGATTAGTATCAGTGACTTTCAGGGTATTTCCTAGGTACAAACTGGGGAAGATTTTTTCTTTCTTTGCTATTTACATGATGCAATTTTGCTCTGAATGTGCTTGTTCAGGCATTTTTGACAGTCGTCATTTCACAGAAAGTTCTGGAGGTGATCAGTTCACTGCTCTTTATAGCAGAATTACACAGAGCATGGTCTTTCACTTGGTCTCCCTCACGCTTTTGTAAGCACAAGCAACACCTGAGCAAATTCAGTACGTCTGTTCGTGCAGTTTCACTCACAAAGCTGTAAAGAATGGGATCAGCAATGCAATTCAAACTTGTTAAGGCCTGTGTGATTCTGTAAACTTTATACATTAACTGCAAAAGCTGTGGGTCAGTGGTGTAAGGTTCTTTGATGCTGCGAATAAACAATATAACATGATAAGGAGTAAAGCAAACAACAAAAGTAACTGTGATATTCAGAATAAGTTTCCTTACTTTTTTCTTTTCTTCATCTACTGTGGCTTGATTACACCTCACTACTTGGTAGATTTTATGGTAGCAAAACACAATGATTACCAAAGGGACCAGGTACCCTGAGCATATCCGGAATAAATTTATCTGTGCCTGCCACCATTCCAGGGGGTATTTATCATAGCATAATGTATGATTAGTGAAATTGCAAGGATCATTGAACACTTCTTTGTATACCAATATGATTGAATTGAAAGTGCTTTCCAGAAGCCAAACAATTATGCTGACAATCAATGAAAATCTTCTTGTGCGCAAGTGCTGGAGCTTTAAGGGGTGAACTAATGCCAGATACCTGTCAACAGAGATGCAAGCAAGGAATGCAGTACCGGTGTAGAAATTCATATACATAAGGAAGGCAGAAATCTGGCAAAGCAAGGCAGAGAGTCTCCAGTTATCTCCATTCCAGGCATAATCAATCCACATAGGCAGAATTAGAGAGTACAAAAGGTCAGCCAGGGATAGGCTGAAGATGTAGACTGCTAACTCATTCTTCTTCCTCACCTGAATGCAAGATACATAAAGGCTTATGCAGTTGGTGGGAATACTGATGATCATCACAATGCTGTACACAAGTGGAAACAAATACTTATCCAGGGTGTGATCATCATGGCACTCAGCAGTGTTGTTCATTGTCCACTCTGAGTAGTATCTTTGGGCTAATTCCAGACTGGATGCAATAAAAACCCCTCTGTAGTCTGATGCGTGGTCATCTGTTTGTTAGTTCTTCAGGACCTGGTTGGTATGATTCCAGCCTTCTGCTACAAAAAAGGAAAAACGTCAGATGTAACAACTTTTCTTTTTTTTTTTTTTTAAATAGGCTTCTTGGTGAGTGTCTTCTTTAGAAGAAAGAAACTGTGTTTGTAGGAGGTTTTTAAACACTTCTAGAGCTAGAAGTAGACAGAAATGCAAACCTAAATATCTAAGATGGTCAAGGAAAGTTAGATACAAGCTGCTACAGCAGAAGCAGAATGAGTAAAGACACTTCCAGAGGGGTAGGGTCCTGCAATTCCAGGTCTCTCCTTGTGTGAGTTGAAGGAGATTAGAAAGTGCACCACAAATATTATTCTGGTGAGCAGAACAGGGTTTTGGCCATACAAATATGGCAGATTTCTTAACCCAAATAGCACCCTCCCCTGTAAGTCAATGCAGAGACAAGGATATAATGACAGGGATTCAGGTATCACTAGATGTTGGGGTCTGCTCAGAAAAGAATGTGTGGCTTGTATGCAAGTACCTCTCCTATCTTATTGCATCCTTATGCTTCCCTGTTCCCCTCCCCTCCTTTGTATGTGATCACCCAAGAACTTGCCATCAACTGTGCTATTCCAGAAAAGCTTACTCCATGTCTCAGAAACCCTCAAATGAAACCTGTCAGGCTTTTGGGTTCCTGCATGCACAGGAGAATCTGTTGGTGTGTCACTTAGGCTCATGTGAGGCATAGACTTTCCAAGTACAAGTTTTCACTTACACTTCTTTCCTGTAAAAATCGCAGTTGCCATGTATGAGTTTATCAAACCATCAGCAATTAAGGTTATCTTAGGCACTGCCAGGGCTGTGGTGTCAACAGTTTCAACATGAAAATATCAGTAAAATGGCAGCCCTGACTAAAGCAGTGGGACTGGAGGAATTGCATGTGTGAGCCTTAGAAGTGCTCAGCAAAGCTGACCTTTAAGAAAGAAAGGGCGTACAACCATAACTATGAGACAGCTGGTACCCACTGATTATACCACAGCTCTGACACTCAGTAATTCTGTTCTCCAAATTTCTAACTGTTAAGGAAATTCGAGAATGCGGAATATTTGTTGTAGTTCAGATCTACTGCCAAAAATACTGCTTTGGACACTGCCTGTGATAACTCATCTGTGGTTTGAACCTAGACTGCCAGCAGAGTAGATGAAGAGGTGGTTGCAAGATAGTACTGTCTATAACTGTTCTCACACAGGAAACAGCACAAACTGAAGACAACTTGGGTGCAGGGATCTTCTCATGGGGTGGGCAAATTCATTCTGCTTATTATTGGTTTGATGCATGTGTTGTGTGTGTATGTGTGTGTGTAGGTCTGTGTGTTTATCAGAGAAACCCAAGTAGTTTTATTGCCTCTGTTGAGAGGTTACTATATGGATCTCTTTTCAATTAGAAAAACCCAACTTTAATGCGTATTCAGAAATAAAAGGAGCAATGACAAAACTAGTCAGAAAGCACATACTTAATGTTACCAGCCATTGCTTTATTTGATCAAGTTGGCTAACTTTTCACAGTTAGAGATAAATACATTCACAGGCTTGAAAGACAAGGAAAATTCTTGAGAAGGACTTGCCAATCTGGTCCATTGAGCATTTTTACTTACAGGATAACTAGTTAAAACCCCAGATGTCTGCTTTTCAGTGTGGTTTAGTAAAACCACACAGTAAATAGGCCATTGTAAGGTTACCAGTATAGATAAGTATCATGAATTGAAAATCTAGCTCTACAGATTGGACCCCAGAGTTTTGTTGACCCACTTCTCACCAAAAGCAAAGCAAACATATGTAGACTGACCAGATGAGTAAAAGATAGAATACCTACCTCTTCTTCTAATCACATTTTAGCATCTCTTTTCCTATGACAGGTCTCTTCGTGTCTAACAGGGAAACATGCCCTTTCAGAAGCATGCGTGTAATGTAGCAAATGTATGAGGCAGTGTTTACTAGTCGTGTGACTGAGAAACTGGAATTCCTTCTCCCTCCCCCACAACCTCTTTCTCCATTGTTAGTTGAGTTGTTACATTACAGACTCATCATCCTTACAAGATCCCAACTTGTCTCCATGTTACTCACAACAGCTTGTCTCAAAGTTAGCTTTATCAGCTCTTTCATATCTATTCACAATCCAGCACACCAATTTCTTGATATCGCCCACTTTTTTCCTTCAGCTTTCTCTTTTTACCTCATTGTTTCTAGAAGTTGTGTCTGCTGATCTCACTGATCATAAGATGAAACACTTGTCCTTATATTGCACTTGTCTGAATAAATTCCTTTTTTGGGAGGGGCAAGACCTTGCTTTGGTCTGTTGCCATCTGCCTTAAGGAACCAATATCTTAAGTTATTATTGGCTAATGGCAGGCTGGGATACTGAAAATGGGATTCAGAGTTGAGACCACATGAAATTTGCCACCTTGGCAATTTTTTATTGTCCATTTTTCATAGGTCACTGTAGCCTGTGGGTTTAATTTTATTTTTAACCAGTATCACCAATAGTGTCTATGAATAAAGCCCTGGAGGCTGTCTGAAGTTCCCCAGGTAAGGTCCCAGCATTGATGACGCATGGATGCTACTTATATGAGGACATGCTTTCAATGAGAATAATAACAAGAAATGTGTCATACTGGCATGTATCAATGACCTATATTGAAGCGTGTCAAAGAGTCAGCAAATGAATTATACCACAGCGCCTGCAGAAGTTTCTTGCCCAGAAATACAAAAGCAGAAAGCACTGTTTTGCCCTGATTGCAACACATTTCATTACAGTTACTAAGGGTCTATCTCAGGGAAAGTGGTCTGTATCATACCTTTTTGCTTGGGTTTCCTCTGGTAATTATGACTTCATAATGCAAAATGATTTGTCTCACCTGAATGCAACATGTGAAGCATTATCAGGTTTTCTCTCAGCTACTGAGCGTACCAGCTGGTTTTGCCCAGGAGGATGTTATTGGCTTACAGCTATCCTAAACCACAATATTTGATAATTTTTCCCACTGATTTTTAAATGGATTTATTTTTTATTGAATTTATATATATATATTTTTTTTCCCAATTGATTTTTTCTAAAAAACTATTGAGGAATTTCTGTTTATTGATACGTAATCTAATGGTCTGACTTTCATGTACCAAACTCACTGTGACTAATTCTGTAGATTTGTTTCTTATTTTACAGACTTGTTTTAGTATCAGATGTGTTTCAAACAAAACACCAACAAACCCAATCAAACAGAAACCCACTCAACACTAATTTTTTCTTTTAGCCACATTATTCAATGATTATCATTGTCTCTGTCTGTCATTTTGCCACAGAACACCTGCTGTACAAGAACTCTGAAAAAAGTCAGTCAGACATAAAATTTAGAGAAATAGACTAGCAAATGCTATGCTTTGAGTAATGTATGCAAAAAAGCCTGTAAAGGAAACTTGCGAAAGTTTCTGGAGGGAAGTAGTCATTACACATTGTATTTGTATTGATGCATTCCTACAGTATCTTTTTCAGATTCGAAGAGAGCTTCATGCAGTCTTCCCATTTGACATTTTGAAAGTAACAAAGTAAGTATAAAGTTATACTTTCATAACACAAATACAAAATGATATTCCATATTCTTATCGCTAAACAACTTTCTAATTGAAGAATGGAAGAGTCTTTACTTTTCAGATAATTCTGAATATAGAATTCTACTATAGTTTGGGGAATTGGGACAGACAGAAGACTGTAAGGATTTTGTGTTATTAACAGAAAAGATTAGTCACTAAAAAAAAATATCTTTCATTAGCTAATAAACACCAGTTTAATTTTGGAAACACCTGCAATATTTCACCCTTTATTTCAAATTCAAGTTCATAAAAGGGCAAACTGCTGTAAGCAGTACTCATTATAATGTGCTAAGTTTTTGCAGGTACTTTGCTTTTTAGGTAAGCTTCAGGGAAGAAAACAATGTTGTGTGAACTAGTGCAGTAGCTGCTGTACTGATGTTATTGTATATCAGCCATGAGATGGAAGGACACATGGTTTTTTTCATTTCTTCTTTCTCTCAAAGCAGTCTCAACAAAGTAGATACTGCTCTGTGCTCTCAAAAAAGTTACAGTGCCAAGCTGATTTCCTCAAGTACAAGGACCTTCCACAGCTGGATCTTTTTTCCTCATGAGCAGGTCTCAAAACTCAGTTCTGAAAAACTTCACAGTTTGAGAGAGCTGAAATATGCCTTTCAGTAACATGGACCATTTGCTTAAAATGAACAGCATTTTTCCTCATGCAACACTAAATTTGACTCACAGGTCTCTATAAAATTCTGTAGAGACTTCAACAGGTCTAAAAGAGCTCTCAGTCTTTTTAGCTTTGAGATATACTTTATGAACTGTTTTATGGAGCATAAAAAATTCTGTTAAAATGAGCAAATAGAAAAAAAAGAAAAAGCTATGTTTTTTTAGGATGTAGGCCATGCAGGCAAGTAATATTTTGCTATATCCTTATGTGCATCATGTTTTCATATATTCATACAGAAAGATGCTGTACAAAATATTTTCATGACACTTGGTATTCTAAGAAGCTACTTTTTTTAGCACAGCTTATAGTTCTGCAAAGTTTTAAGCATTGTGTATATTCCTATAAATAGTGCTGAGTATCTTGTTAGTGCCATAAAACATGAAAGAAAAAAAATAGACAGGCTACCCAATCCACCGTGGGGCCTGAAGCATTTTTTGCAGTAAAGACAGCACAGCTCAGAATCCTGAAAACTCACCCCCAAATATTGTCCTTCTTCATCCTTCCCTCTCTTCCAAGCAACTAGTATTCTGATCATGGCAATACCCTTACAACAATAAATCAAGCTGGCATGTATTTCTTAATTCAGTCGTTTGATGTCGTTTGCTGTTTGTCTCATGTTTCACTTGTGCTGGGAGTAAAATACTCCTTCTCTCAAAGCAATCTTTTCAGTCCCTTTTGTGTCCATTCTTTTTGTTGTGGGATGTCAGCATCACACTAAGGGAAAGCCAGGTTTTACCT